AAAAAATTATTATATTTTGAAAATTATCGCGCGATTGCAGTTGGTCCACACTTCTTCAGGCTGAAAAGGAGCATAACCACATTCAGAATACTGTCAATAATTCTAATTGCGCCTACCCATTCGGTACCATAATTCCGTCTTGGTCGGCCAGACTCTGCTGTAGGTGATAATAGGCACGATGTTGCTTTCCGATTTGAATACCTCTCCCACAAAATTACCAGAGCAAAACCTGATGGGCTACGCTCTCAGCGATGTCAGGGATAATGTTGGGAACTTGCCTGTATCCGGTGCTTCGCTGGTCCTTTTGTGTTTTGATTTCGACACCAGCAAAATAGCATCCATCAATATCAACCTTACCCGGACTCGAATAATTATGGAACTTTACTTCAATGATTCTTCCTAGAGGAGCCTGCAAAAGTGCAAATTATCCTGACTTTTGAAGGACGCACTCTTTTACCTCTATCCAGTAGTGGCATTTGAGGAAAAAGTCATTTTCGACTGTTTTCTTTATCCATGATTGGCCAATAATATCCTCAAATTTCAGGTAGTTTGTTGTGGCTTGTAACACATTTCCGCATCCGTTTGGCTGGAATTTTGATTGTGAACATATCTCATTACGATATTATTACAAATGTTACCCTCTCGTTACATAATCTGCCTCCATATCCTCCCGGACAAACGCATTTCGAGCAATCCTTGGGATTCGGAAAACCTCCCATTGCGCATTTGGCTGCTAATGGATTTGACTTGCATTTTTCTGAATAACACTATGGAAATGCTAAAAAAAGTTCTTTCTATGCTTTTTACCGCTTCTATCTACCTAGACAGTTGTAATGAGTGTTCATCATGAGTTTATCGTAGAATGAAACAAAATGGGATCCCAGCGTTTCAATATACCTTCTGTCGACGGGTATCATTGTGTGCCAGCGTGATTTATCTGCCGAGAAACTGATAAAAACGATCATTCCGCGGTACTTCAATGCAGAAATAACAAACCTTCTCGAACCGTAATGCATTATGCTGCCGAATTCATAAGGAAGACCGTAATTATCATTAGTCTCAGTTGTTTGCTTGATAAACTGGTCATGTTCACCAGCCTAAACTTGTTCATCGACCTCAGTGACAATAGAATTAAGAGCATTCACCTTGACTTTTGTTTCATCGATTATTAGGTGCTCGTCACGATCATGTCTGGCATGGTGGTGGTAAAATCCAAGGGCATGACCAATTTCGTGTGCAGCAAGGCCAATCTGTTTGCATAATTCTCATACATTTTTGGGCAGAAGCTCAATTGATTTCAGCTACATTATTCAACAACTAGCAGTTTACGATAGTGTTTCCATATAAAATCCAAAATTATATATATAGCGTCTTTGTCTCAAAATTTCACAAGAATAAAAAGCGCGACGCTGAGCCTTACAACTCAAGTATAAATGCAGAATTTTTTCATAAAATTTAAGCAAAGAATTCTTCTACTTTTTCGGGGTGATTATTCAGGTGGTGGTGCATAACGACGACTACCGAAAGTGAGGCCCTTACCGCTTCGCAGCCTTGTCCTAGGGAAAGCGGTTGTACTTTATGGACGTTTCCCACATATGACCAACAACCTGGCTCGACCACCAATTCAATGCGTTCCGGTGCTAAACGATAGATCATAAGCCGTACTCCTTGTTCCGTTCGCGCACCATGAATGTACTCGTAAAAACTAAGGCAAGTTTCCCTCTGCCATTCCAATGCGCCATGTCTGAAGAGATCGCGTATCTTATTAGCTGAAAAAGTTAATTCTATTATTTTTTGAGTACAAGAATAAGAAAATAGTCAGAAGTTGAATAGGCTAATCTCAACAAGCTGCATATCATTCGACCAGCATGGGATCTCAACTTTAAATCTGTCTCGTATTTGCTAAACGCCTTTGTAGGCGAAGTTATGAGCGTATTGCAAAAACATCCGTATGAATGAAGGTGAATGTCTGTTTGTTGTTTGTGTGCCTGTATGCGTTTTTGCAAGTAGGTTCCAAATAGAAAATCCCTATTTCTGAACTGATCCGGGCCAGACTGCTTTGCGCACCTATACTTCTCTCCGGGGTTTCGTAGGCTACATATCCTTATCGATTTTGTCGATTTTTTGCTAAGTTTGAGCCTCGATCTGGGATTTGGCATAAGAGGTAAGCGAGTGTTAACTACGGATATAATATTATTGGCAGGGTTGGGCGGAACCGGGTTTACCAGCTGTACATAAAAAGAAATCGAGCACATTGTTTTGTTCCCCTTTTAGCTCACCATTAGGTAGGAGACGGGGACAAGTGGCATAGTGTATGA